CATAGATATATTCTTTAATAGGCCGCCCTCTCTGCTTTAAATTCGAAACTCAACCTCTGCATGTTGATCCTCCTCTATCTCCTAAAATCTGGTTTCCAGCTCTTGCAGGAATTCGTTGACATCCTGCAGTTGGGGGGGCTCTCATCCTATGGAGAGCTGCTAGCCATTCCTTTGCTTCTTCCTCTAATCCCATGGTGATGGTGTTCACCATGCTCTATGCGATGGGTCGAGGTGTCCATAGCAATCTAAATGGACTCCCATGGAGTCAAAGAATAGAGTAAGCTGATCTGGGTCCCCATCAAACTTCCCTCTGAATCTGGGCAGCTCGTTCAACACTGCCAGCGTAAACAGCGTACGGGGGGGGGGGGGGGAGGTTCAAAAATTATCCTCATGGTGCCTAGAAAACAACCTGCACCTAAACATCAAGACAAAGGAGATGGTGTTAGACTTCCGGAAGAAGATAGAGGAACCCGCCCCACTTTACATCGAGGGGGGTTGTGTGGAGAGAGTTTCCTCCTTTAAATTCCTGGGAGTTTACCTCAGTGAAGATCTTATCTGGAAAATCAACACAACCCGGAACAGAAAATAACTTCATGTCAACATAGTATGATAGACTTTTGGGGCTGGCGCATTGTGCAAAAATGTCATATAGTGTAATAAGATTGGGACTGGGTTAGGGACTTCTGTCCTCACTGAGTTGTGTTGGGGGTGGGGGTGCATGAAGGGAGGCTCAGCCAATCTCATTGTACGTATGTTGTAATCTGACAATAAAGGTAATGATGATGATGATGATGATGCCACCCTGTCCTGTTGGGCCCCATCTGCCTGCGCTTGGTGTGCTTGGTGGTCTACATCAGCTCTAGCTTATGGAGATGGGTCCGGGCCTCCCCCTTGAGTGGGTAGCTTGTGGCAGGGGGAAGCCACTGGTGGCAGCCTCAGACTCAGTTTTCTTCTGGCGGGTGGAGAGAAAGGGCTGTATTCTTGTCTGCCTGCCCATTTGAGGGTGGGTAGGTGTGCGAGGGCGCCCCAGGCTTTCTCTGTGGTCATCTCCAGCTGAAACTTAGGGCTGGCTAATTGGAGCTTAGTGGGTTGGATTTGGCTTCTACTTCTGTCCAGGAGTTTGATAGCAGCCCATCTCTTTCTCCCTTTCTTTTGGGTGGCATGACTGCCCCTCATCTTGAAGGATAGCTCAGTCGAATTCCTACCTAAATTGCTCCAAGGATTCACCTAGGGTCCCAAGTAAGGATTTTGGGGTTCTGACCTGTTCCCACTCCTTCCTAGTTTGCTTATGGGCTGCCCCAAATGACAGGCGCTAGAGTAGTGGAATTCGGCCTCGGCTGCTTTGGGGATTTTTTTCCACCAATACTCATCCCTTTCTGCTTCAGACGCTGAGGCAGGGATCCCGGATGCCTTGGTTTCCAAGGTCAGAGACAGCTGCACTTGGGTTCTGACTGGGCTGCTGGTTCCTGGAATTCCCTGGATGGGAGTAGCATTTGCCTCCTGGGTTGCCAGGAGCAGACTTTCTTAGGAGATTCCGCCCTCTGCCATGGTGGCCTGAGTTTCTCTCCATGCACCCCAGGTCTTGGAGAGCATGTGGAGAGTCAGGGCCTCAGGAATCCCAGTTGTTTTTGGGAGACCTGGCTTGATATCAGTGTTCCGACCAATGCCCTAATAAAATTAAGAGTCTCAAGCCATTCCGCAAGAAAAATCCAGTTGTTTATTAGGAGCACCATGTCGACACGACCTAGGTAAAGCCAGCTCTGACTACACCCAGTTCAGTGTCAACCTTGAGCGTGGTGAAATTCAAATTGCCAAATTGTAGGCAGCCAACAGTCAGCAGAACTAGCCTGCAGATACCCAGTTTTATAGCGCCACTCCAGATTGAATGGGGTTATGCCTGATGTCTTGAAGCTATTAGGATCTGGATGGAGAGATCAGACTGTAATGGGAAAAAAGAATAACCTTGAGAAATAGGAGAAAGAGCTGCAGTTAAGACAAAAGAAATCTGAGTCCAGGGCAGAAATGTAATTTGGGAAAGCATTTCAGACTGGACTCTCCCTAGCTGTCATGAAGATAAAGGGAGGGAGGAGGAAAGCATATTCAGACTTGCAAGTTTGTTAGAGTAGCCTTATAATAAAAATAGTATTACCATTCACAACTTTGGTTTCTAGTCTGGTCTACCTTGAAGGCCAGACGTGAATCTTGCAAGTCTGAATACACTTGTAATGTAATGCTGCACATTAACCAGGCCCATTTTGCTTGTACGCAGCCTAAAGTACATGAGTATTTTAGTTAGTTTAATTAATTACTGGCACAAATGTTATGTTTTACCTAGTGTTTTATCTACAATGCAATTATTTCACTGTTTAGCTCTTTGGATCAGATCTACCAGGTAATGGTCCCAGCAGACTTGATTACTTTCCTGATCCTTGTCCTGATGATACTGTCCTTGCAGTTTTAATGCAGAACAGGTTTTAAAAAAAGCAATTGGTGGAGTCCCCTAGGTTTGTTTTCTCTATTTTGAATGTCATGAACCAGCTTGGGAGAAAAAACTATCACAAATCATATACGTATATACATACATACATGCATATTTTGGGACATACATATGTTGGGACATACGTATGTCCCAAAATAGCTCAAATGGCAGGTCAGAGGAAAAGAGGACCAGAGAATGAAATGTGTACGGAGGGAGGGAGAGAGAGAATCAAGAACAAGTGATATAGACAAAAAAAGAGGAACACAGAATTGGGGAAAGAACTTTCTCTTGTATAATCCTGCATTTGTGACCTCTCAACTGGGCTAGGTTCGGATGTGAATTTAGTGTGGGTTTTGTTTTTGTTTGTTTTTTTGATAAAAGGACCTGTGTTCAGAAGTGGCCTAACAGAGATAAGAGATATAGAAAAGGGTTTTAAGGAACATTGCCCTGAGCGAGGCTCTTCTTGCCTGTGACCTGTGAGCTGGATAATTTCTGAACAGGCACTCTAACACTCTTTTCAGGAACACTGAATCCATGTCCAAAAATAGCATAGCTGATAGTAATGCAGGCAAAGAAGAGAAAAATGGAGGTGAAGTGGGCAGAATGACAGACAAAAAGTGATCGGAGCAAGAGGTTCAGCAAAAGAGATACAGGTGGTCCTCAACCTATGACCACAATTGAGCCCAAAATTTCTGTTTTTAAGTGAGACATTTGTTAAATGAGTTTTGCCCCATTTTATGACCTGTCTTGCCTCAATTATTAAGCAAATCACCACAATTGATAAGTTAGTAAGTTGGTTATTAAATGAATCTGATTTCCCTATTGACTTTGCTGGTCAGAAGGTCGCAAAAGGGGATCACGCTACCTTGGGACACCGCAACGGTCATAAATATGAACCAATTGCCAAGCATCTGAATTTTGATCACATGACCTTAGGGATGCTGCAATGGTCATGTCAAAAATGGTCATAAATCGATTTTTTCAGTGCCGTTGTAACTTTGACTGGTCATTAAACAAACTGTTGTAAGTTGAGGACTATCTGTACAACACAAGACAGCAAGGGAATGTGTGACAGCCAGAATAACTTCAAACTGAAACAGATCAAGAAATCTTTAAACTGCCACCACAGTCGGCTGGGAATGACATGAACATAATAAGGACATGTCATGTAAAAATACCAGCTCCAAACAAACCACCCATCAGTTATCTATTCTACACCTAAATTTAGGAGTTCACATGCTGGGTAAGTTATGAAGAGTGATGGCCCCTTGCATTCAGATGAGCTACTCCATTTTCTAATAGGTATAATAAGGGAAAATGGAAACGGAACTGTTCCACTCACTAAAATGCCTGACAATATTAAAACATGTAGTTATAGTGGGGAAAGTATTAGTTAGATTTATGATGCCAGCATTCTCTGATTATATTGGGATACGGAGAATGCAATTCTTTGTCTAGAGAAGAAAGCAATTTTTCCTTCTCATTAAGGCAAGGCCTTTCCTAATGCTGCTGCAGCTGTTTTGTTGAGTCAGAGTCGTGGCTTCTTGCCCAAAATCTGAGTAAGGCAATATAGTCTGTAACATGCATTTATTATTTCTTTTTGCAATATAAGGGCAGAAATGTAGCTTTGCTCAATAGGGCTAATATAATACAGCACTGGTATGGGTTGGTAAGACTATATATATATACTGTTTCAATAATTGAAAAAGTCTGTACAGAACTTTGCACAGTGCAAGTGCCACTGATGAAGATACCTGAAACTGATACGAAAATATTTTTAGGATTGCAGCATTTCTAATCTGAGCAGCAGCCATTATTCTGAAACACTTGTTGCAAGTTACTTCATCTTTTCACATGGGCAGCTATGCTGCCAGGCCATAACTGTAATGTAAACTATTTGCAGGTTCCAATCTGGGTCGGTCACCAAGACCAGAGATTTAGTCTTCTGAGCTATTTTAAACTATTTTTAAAAAGCCAATAGTAAGGAGGCAGACTCCTTTGTTTTTCCAGGCCTGTAGGCCTCTTAAGAAAGGTAACAGACAAATGTCTATAGAGATCCTCAATCATCCAGGTTGTCCCAAAGGTGCTTTTTCAAAATGCATCTGAAGTTTCTTGGTTTTCATTGAAAACGTTTTGCTTCTCAACCAAGAAGTTTCTTCAGTTCTAACTTCTAACTAAATTGAAGAAGCTTCTTGGAAGAGAAGAGAAACGTTTTTAAAACAAAAACCGAAGAAAGTTCAATTGCGTCTTCCAAAAGGGATAACCGACAAATGCGCGCTCAGGGTGGAGAAACCCACATTGAATTTCAGAAATATCTCACTTAAGGGAAGGCAAGATTTCAGAATGAGGACGATTTCCAACTCGCCGCCCAGCAGGCGGAGCGAAGATCCTAACTGATATACTGCTGAATAATGACGGCGAGGAAGTGTGACTCAAACGAGGAACTCCCGCCCCGGCTATCCAAACGCGCTGGAGGCGCCCAGAAGTTTCCAGCCAGGCAGCTGCCCCGCGTCTCTCCTCCTTCGTCTCCTACTCCTCCACCTTCCCCTCCTCTTTGGCGCGGAGCTGCTATTTCCAGATACTTCCACCCCCTTCTATGTCTCCTCCCTCTGGATAAAGGTGCCCGGCCGGCAAGAGCTGCCTCGCTTAACTCCAGCGGATGACCTAAGCGGCGGCGGCTGCAATTTCTTTCCGCGTTGCCTTCTTCCTCCAAGCCTTTTTGCGCTTCTCCCTACTCTCTCTTGCGCACAGCAATGAGCGCAGCTGCTCAGTCTCCCACGCGGATGCAGGTGGAGGCCGGAGGCGGCGAACGGGAGCCTTTGCCTCCGGGCTGGGAGGTGAAGATAGACCCTCAGACCGGCTGGCCTTTCTTTGTGGATCATAACAGCCGCACCACCACCTGGAACGATCCGCGCCTCCAGGAGGATCGCCCGAAGGTACCGCCACGGGTTACGTGGATTTTCCTTGACGTGGGAAAACCGGCGTTAGTTGGGACCGTAGAGTGGAGGGGGTTGACTGGGGACGTGGAGCCCTCGATCTTAGGCTCCTGTCCTGCCGTCTCGTTAAGGGACGGAGCCAAGGTAGAGGTTGGGTAATTCTGCCCTTCCCGTGACTGAGGATCTCTGTAGACGTCCTTCCCCATGACTTTTAAATAGTTTGTCCCGCTTGCTGCGCTCCATAGCTCGCGTGTATGTTGGGAACAAGAGAGGTTTCACAGGACACTAGTTTCTGGTGGGAAGGGGAAAGGGACGCGCGTTCCCTACAATTTTGGGGAGGTCAAGTGGAAAGGCAAGGCTTCTTTGGGACGCCCATCGCTGGGTCTAAAGGACAACGCGCACTGTTTCCACTCTCTAGACAAGGGTGGGTGTACGTGAGGAGAGACGTTCCTCTCATTAAGCGGCCGGGGGGGTGGGGGGGAACGGCCCGTGTCGGGCGCCAGAGTTTTTCTCAGTATATGGCATTGCTGCGGTGACTCCACAGATAAAGTTGAAAGGCCTTCAATGGAGGGCAGGGGAAACGACGGGGGAGGTGGGAACGGTGGGTGGGCTCTGCTCTGCCTACACCTCCCGGCTGGTGCCGTTTGAAGGACAGGAGCCGAGCACTTCCCTGGGGCGCTGGGAGCAGTAAGATGCAGCGGGGCAGTGCCAGGAAAAGTCTGTCCTCGCTGCCTTTCCAACCCACCCACCCCTCCCGTCCGGACTACATGGCTATGCAGTGAGGCTAAGAGCTGGCTTTTGTCTCTGACGCACTGCAGTCGTTTCCCTCCCGTTTTTGTGCGTTAAATCATTTGATACTTCGCCGTTGCGACGTTTATTTAAAGTTGGCAAAGTCTGCCTCGATCTGTAAAGAGGCGACCGTAATTAGCCTGGCTGTACTTCAAAGACGAAGAAAGTTGGTTCCCCTCTCCCCACAACAGTACAGTTTTCATAGACTTGTCTTGGTATATAATGAGGGCTCGGTTTAGGTTGCTATCCTTAATGTACATTTTTATAGGTATCGGTTTTTTAAGTGGTTTTTATAGTACGGATTCTAAGACATCCTGGGGAAAGTTTCCTTACTTACAGAGATTCCTTTTCTAATTTCAAAAATAATTTAAATCTTTCATGAGATTGCATCCTTTAAAATTCTTATTTTTTTCTGTTATTGTTTTTTGGAACATAAATTGCTTACTTTAGTTCCATTTCTGCCACACTGCTTATTGGTTATATAACAATCCAATGATTAAATGAAGGAGAAAATCAACAACATAATGCAAAATAATGATTAGATTTTAAAATAATTGCTTGTGTTCATTTTAGAGCACTGATGGCGAACCTATGATACGTGTGTGTCTAAGATGACACACCACGCCATTTTGACATGCCAGCATTCACCAACCCCCAAGTATGACTGTCAAAAGCACAACTGTGAAACTGTCTTTGCTCTACTTGTATTTCATTTTTGTAATTATTGGATTTTTTTTGTATAATACACAGCAGTACATGATTGGACTGTTTATGTTTTTTAAAAATTAAAGAATTGTTTCTACTCATGGGGTGGGGGGTGGGGGGGGGGGCTGTGACATGCCAGAGAATGAAGCTGGGTGTTTTCTGAATTTTTGATATGCGGAGTCCAAAAGGTTTTCCATCGCTGCTTTAGAGGTAGCATATTTTGTACAGCTCATTTATAGCCCTTTTGGAGTAATATATTCCTAATATATTTTGCTATTCTGTAGAATCTGTAAAATCTTGATAGGCTTTCCTATCCCAAAATATTTTGCTGAAAATATGGGATTTTTGCTATTCCATATAAGCTAGTTTATTTGAAAGTTTCTTCCTTACTCCCTCATCAAGCGTGCCTTGTAACTGCATTTTTCTTCTAGGTCCTCATAATAGCTCAGGTGACAAGGTTATGTTTGAGTTGTTCTAGTAGTAAAATTTTCCCTTTTTTTCCCAATACAATTTTGGCTGTGTATATGGTCTGACAATCTATAAAGTGATAATGGTTGCTGAAATAGTTAGGAGTTGGGATCTACCCAGTTCACCCCTGTAGACTGCAGATCGCTGTTCTTTTAAACCCTGGGGTCTGCTCTTCATGGCCATTTGTCTTGGAATGCTAGAGGGACCAGATCCTTGATTTCCAGGAGGCATCTACTTGCAAAATTCCTAACTGGAGCTTGTACCTGGAACTTTATCAGGTTTTGGGGTAACTTTATAAACATGGGTGTTATGCTATTCTGAGAAATTGATGGGCCTTTAAAAAAAAAAAAAAAAGCAAGCTGCTTGTAATTTAAACTTACCAGTTGGGTACGCTAATTCTGTCTCCATTAGATTCATCATAGGTTTTGGGCTCCTTCAAAAAAAAATGTCTGGCCAAATGTTGGTGTGTGAGAGAGAGGGAGAGAAGGAGAAAGAAAGATTACCTGCTTCGTTCTGCTTTTGGTATCATTACATGTGTTCTGTGGCTTTGTACTTGATACTTCTGGGTGCTGCCACAAGATTAGAACTAGTTTCCTTGGTCACATTCTTTAAGCACCGTCATTCCATTGTTATTTCTCTCTTTACCTCACACTACTTCTCTATGTCATCTCTCAGGGCATTTGTGGGCATGGGTTTAGTGCTCTGTCAGAAGCTATGCACCGTGTTTAGAAACAATGATAGAAGACAGGTCACACGAAACATAAGCACTGAAAGTGCTATCTTCCGCTTCATCCCATGTACCCATTCACCCTGGTAATTTAACAGTGTGAGACCTGCCATGCTAAGCACCTGTCTAGACTTGCCCCACTCTACATTAGTAAGAGTTGATAGGTGGCTATTTTCTGCTGGTGAGTAGGGGCGAAATGAAATTTGGGGAATCTCATTTTTTGACTTGTCCTATCCTGGGTACAGAAGGATAACATCTTTGTCTTCATATGGACATAATAGGAAGTAGCAATGGGGGAAACACAATTTATGCAAACATGTGTTTCTGCCAATTACCTATATATTAGGCAGGGGTATCTAATCTTTACTGGTCTGTGGCCCGCCACTGAAGCAAGCAAAGCTCCATCTGTCCATGTGCGGGATCAAGGTAGCATGAGAAACTATATCCTCCCCGTCCACAGAAAAACCATCCCCTACAGAATCAGCCCCTGGTGTCCAAAAAGTTGGGAGGCTGCTGCATTAGGCATCTTTTTTCTATCCAATTTAGGGACCTAAATGAAGTCCTGTAATAACAAAGAATTGTTTCAATAAATGTCAAGTAGTTTAGAATTCAGGACAAACAGCTATTCCCTCTTCAGCATCTTGCCTGAGGGAAACATCATCATCTCCCTAATGGTAGGGTTGGCCCTGGCAGATCCTCAAAATTTTAATTAAAGATACTTAAATGTCTTGCCTGAACTAAACAGGCAGCTAATAACTTTAGTTACAAAGAAAGGCTCCAGATGTTCTGGAAAAGAGTTTCCTGTCTGAATATTAAATGTAGCACAGTATTGATAGTTGGAAAGATATAAAATATAATAGCAAAAAATAACCATTATTCTTTAAAATGATTTAGATGACTGTCACTTTCTAAATGGGCTCCTTGGTGCTCTAAGCTTGGTTGTTTTGCAGACGTTTCATTACCCAAACTAGGTAATATCATCAGTGCTAGTGAGGAGTGGGTTTGCTGTCAGTTTATATTCTATCTAGTGATTTGCCCCAAGTTGTCAGTGCTGGTGGGAGAGGTCTTAGAGGTTCTTTGGGCTGTTTACTGTTGGCTTTTTGGCAGATCCTGGTTTGGGATATTGTTTTCTTGATTGTTGGTCTGATGTTGAAGTTAATCTATGCTCATTTGGGTGCTGATTGCTGGTGGAGAGATGCTTAAGTCTTTTTGTTCCCTTTTTGACATAGTCTATAGAGATTGTTTATGTCTATTGATGGCTCATTTGTTAGAGTGCCAGACATTTAGAAATTCCATAGCAATAAAACGTTTGGATTTGGTTGGTCTAGGATGGTCATGATTTCCCAATTGAAACTATGGTTAAGTCTGTCCATATATTATGAAATTAAAGAGTTTTCAACATGTCTTCTGATTGCTAGTTGGTGTTCATTAATGTGTTCTGCCAGTCTTCTGTCTGTTTGTTTTATGTAGTTCTTGTTGCAGTCATTACACTGTCGTAGAAGATGCTGTTTTCTTCTGGGACTGCTGTTTTTTGTTTGTTTGTTTGTTTACTTAAAATGAAGGGCTTTAGATGGCTTTTTGTGCTATGCTGATTCCATATGGTTCTAGTAGTCTGCTGGTGGTTATGGTAGAAAAACTTACTTGAAAAGTAAGAACAGCTTACATATTCCTGTCATTTGCATTCATTAAAATTGCTGCTAAATTGCAGATTAACTATAGTTTAGGTGATATAAATCTTAATTTATTTAAAACAAATGTTAAAATGATGTTAACGTGAATAAAACATGATAAAAAAATATGCTTTTTTCCTAATTAAAAGAACTATAGATGTAATACTTTTATTAGGTTAATCAAAATGTCGATTTCAAGTTTTTAAATGTGTTAAAATTATTCCTCAGGCAAAAATGTTAAAGCCATGAAAAACGTTTCTGTGGAATTACACAGTTTATAAGAACCATTCTTGCACCTGTTGCATTCTGGCATTAACTATTTTGCCTCAAGAATCTTTCATAAAAACTTGAAAACTAGCAACATTTTTGGCAGCATTACAAAGATTTTAGTTCTGGGAAGTTGTGATTTTGACTTTTTTTTTGAGATTATTACAGCTATCATTGCTTATCATGTAATCTAATTTAACCCAAATGGTCACCAATCTACCAAGACATATGTAATGCTTTTATTTAGCAGTAGCCTCACATTGTTTCTAAGTAAAATATGGACTGGTTCTAAAATATCAAAAGTGTCAAAAGCCGCACTTTGTAAAAGATCTCTTGCAGCCACATTTATAGAAAAGATCCTCCAGTCCTTGGAC